TCTCTCCAAGGAACTCTGAGAGAATTATTAGTGGGAAGGCAGGGAAACTAGAGAGATATAAGGACAGAAGGAAAAAGACAATTGAAAGCATTTAAGTAAGCAATCCCAAACAGGAGCAAAGGATGCCCCTCTCTTCCTTGGAAGTCACATCAGAAAAAGCCAATAGGCTTCTCTAGACCTCATCCATGTACAGAAAACTTGGTAGGCACCATCCCCTGTGAAAACTACTCCCAAGCCAGGTGTGGTGGTGCACACCTAGAATCCCAGCACTCAGGAGGCTGAAGCAGGAGGATTACTATGAATTTGAGGTCAGCCTTGGCTACATAGTGAGTTTAAGACCAGCTTTAACTGCATCACAAGGCCTTGTCTCAAAAAAGAAACAAAACAGAAAAAACTAATCCCAACAGAATCCCTGCCATTGGTGGGAGTGGTTTCCCATCCTTCAGGCATCTGTGCACCAAAAAGGAACTAAAAGCCACAAATAAGATCAATGACTGAGGAATTTCTTAGAGGTAGTTGAGGTGAGAGGTGAGCTCCTTTAAGATTTGAACAAAAGAGACAGGTTCTGGAGTGAGAGGCTGCGGCTGTGTAGGGTGAATGCTGAGGTGTGTGGAATAGCGTCTGAGGGCCTGGGGAAGAGCCGAGCTCAGAAATTCAGGTGAGTTTCAGGAACGCGTAATGAGAGGAGTCCAGCATCACATAACAGAGCAAAAACATTCACCACATGCTAGGGGTACAGATGCCAGGCATGATAGCACATGCCTGTAACAGCAGCACCAGGGGAGGCTAAGGCAGGAGGATGTCTGCCAGTTTGAGGGCTACACAGTGAGTTCAAAGCCATTCTGTACCACATATGGAGATTCTGTCTCAAAAAAACAAAGGAAGAAAGAAAGAAAAAAAAATCACAGCATTAAATGAGGGGATGACAATAAGAAATTCCTTTTCATTTTTCAGTCAAGAGGGGTGGTTCCATCCTTCCCACCCCCAAGCCCAAGCCATTGCTCCCTCTGGCTCTCACCCCCTCCACCACCTGCCTGGAGAGTAGGTGCTCCGTGAAGGCAGGAGGCATGTGATCTGTCCCTACCTAACCTCAACACCTACGCCAAAGCGTGGCCTAGAGTAGGTGCTCCACAAATATTTTCAGAATGAATGAACTATTGGGGGCACAGGGATGAGGAGTTCAGAATGAATAGGTGGAGCTCCGCGGAGAGGTGACAGAGCTGTCATCTGAGACAAAGCAGAGGCACTGAAGCTGCGGGCTGGGTGCTTGCACCCTCCAGCCGGCGGGCGGGAAGAGCGGCGCGTGTGGCCCCCTGGTGGGAAGACTGAGGTGTGCAGGGAGGCTGGTGCTGGAAGGACTGGACGGGGAGGGGGCCGAGAACGACCAGAGGAGGTGCGGTGCAGACAACCGAATCACCAGGGTAGCTGGTGTTTAGGGAGAATTTGCTGTCCACTAGGCAGCACGGCAGGCACGCTGCGCATGCGATTTACCTTGTAGCCCGGTCTGGCTCTGAAGCAGGAATCTTTCTGCCTCAGGCTCTCCAGTGCTTCCCTCCCCTCCCCTCTTCTTCCTCGAGCAAACTGTACAAAGGTGAATTAGCTTGTCTAAGGGCGAATAGTAGTCAGCACAACTGGGATAATACGTTGAAGGGAAGAGAACAGAAAGAGATATGGGAAATGATTCAGATGTGCTCCTACCACACATGGAATCATGGGATCTAGGCTGGAATCTTATGCTACTTTCTTTTATTTTCTTTTTTCAGTGCTGACACTCGAACCCAGATCTTGCACATGCTAGGCAAGCACTATACCACTGAGCTCCACCCCAACCCCCAGCCTGGACCTGGCCCCCAACGAAGGCACTAAACCCAGGGGCACAGTCACTTACCCATTCATTCAGTTTGGATAGTTCCTCTTTTCCAGTCACTTTGGAAACAGAAGAGACCCAGCCAGCAAAATTCCTGCCTTCAGTGGCAAAAACCTGTTAATCCTGGCTACTTACAAGGCTGAGGTAGGAGGGTCGCAAGTTTGAGGCCAGCCTAGTGAGGCCATGTCTCAAAATTTTTTCTACAAAGTGACTTTTAGGGGAGACCTACACGATGGTAAGGAGGTAGATGTTTGAAGGTCTCCACAACATTACTGGTGGAAGGAGCAGCAGCAAAGTTCTGAGATAAATTGGTTGTTGTGGATTGGAAGGGTGGAAAGAAGCTGGTCGGACTTGAGGGGCCAGGTTGGTAAGTGGTAGGAGAATAGGCTCTAGAGGACCTCGTAGGCCTTAGTCACTGTCATGGTACAATTACTGCCCTGTTTTTTGTTCTTGTTTTTGTTTTTGTTTTTAATGGATTAAACCCTACACCTTCTTATTGAGCTATACCTAGCCCTTTTTTATTTTTAAATTTTGTGACAGGGTCTCATTAAATCACTCAGTTGCCCACGGTAGGCTCAAACTTTCCATCTTCCTGCCTCAGCCTCCTAAAATGCTGGGACTATAGGGCATGCACTAGCACTCCCAGCTTCTCCTGTTCTTTCTGTGGCCCCAAACTTCACAGCTCCCGGGAATCCACAAGGACAAGCTACCTCCTTGCTCCTGAATGTAGGAGACTTGAAACTCCAGCACAATGCGAGAAGATTCCTTCATCAGGGACAGACAGAAATCTAGGTCTGGAGCCAAGGGCGCTGCTCCTTGGGCACCATAAAGGCGGGTGGTGGAGACAGTGAAAGGACTCTCAGTGCTCCGGGAGCCCTGGTAGCAGTGTGTTGAGGGTCAGCAGAAACAGCCCACCTCACCTCCACCCATGCAGACAGCATTTCCCTGCCCTGACCAAACAGCTGGAGGACAGAAAGCTGTGCCTGAGATGACCCTGGCTTAGAGGAGGTTTATTCACGGGGTTGGGGGGACGGGACGGACGACAGCGGCCCAAGGGAAGAGGGGCACTGCAGACACCTCTGGATCTCACCAGCCACTCACTGCCTGGCGCGCTCTGCCCCCTGCACAGAGGTCACTTTCCCAAGCAGCTTTCCCTATCTCTTGACCCCTCACATCTCTGCAGTGATAACCCCAAAATGTCACCCTCCATCTTTTGTTTTAGGGCTTCCTCCATCTGACGTGCCTTCAAAGAACTTGTCCCAAGTGTAATTTTGCATATGTTTGTGTGACTCTGGGTCTCCTAAAAGCAGGATCTGTGTCCCTTTATGTTCATCCTGGTATACCCAATGTCTGCATCTCGGTTTTCTCATATTCAAAATAGAGATTTAAAGAAATAGAGATAAAAGCCAGGTGTAGTGTCACACGCTTATGATTCCATCATTTGGGAGGCTGAAGCAGGAGGATCTTTGAAAGTTTGAGGCCAGCCTGGGGTCCATAGCGAGTTCAGGAACTGACTGAATTACATAGTGAGATTCTGCTCAAAAAAGGGGGGGGATAGAAGTAGTATTTACCAAATAAAGCTTTTTTAGTAATATTTTATTTATTTTCACTGATAAAACTTATACACATTTGTCATATTTAACATGATATTTTCGTTTGTTTGGTTTTGACAGTATTGGCAACTGAACCTAGGGCCTTCACACTGAGAGCTATATCCCCAGAACTTTAAAAAACTTTTAAAATTTTTGTTTTTTGACAAAGGGTATTTCTACGTAGTCCAGGTTGGCCTCAAACTAGTGGCGATCCTTCTTCAGCCTCCTGAGTGCTGGGATTACAGGTGTGTGACATCATGCCCTGTTGTTTTTTTAAATTTTGAGACAGGTTCCTGCTAAGTCACTGAGTTATTCAAGCTAGGCTCAAACTTGTGATCCTCCTGCCTCAGCCTCCCGGAGGGTTGGGATTACAAGTGTCTGCCACACAATACAGCTTGTTTTGAAATATGCATACATTTTAGAGTGGCTAAATTATGCTAATTAACTGATGCATTACCTCACATACATTTTTAGGATGATAACTCTTAAAATCTCGTCAATTTACAAAACACACTATGTTGTTATTAACTATAGTCATCTTGTTGCATAATACATATCTTTAATTTATCCCTCCTATCTGATTGTAGGGTTTTATGAACAGTAAATTATTGGCACCTGTGAAGACTAGTCCCTGGAATACAAAGGCTCAAAAAATATTAATTATCTGCCAATAATCTGGGTTCAAAATCTCAGAATTAACTCTGATTCATCCCTTATCTCCCTCCAGGGCTAGAACTAGGTTTGAATCTTGGCACTGCCACTTAGTAACTGTGTGACCTTGGGCAGGTTACTAAGGAGCTTCATGTTCCTTACTTTAAAATAAAGATGCTATAACTTTCCTATGAGTTGTTATAATACAGGCTGGGCATGATGCTGAACGCCTGTAATCCCAGCACTTGGGTGGCTAAGGCAGGAGTATCATTGTGAGTTTAAGGTGAGCCTGAGCTACATAGTAAGACTCTGTCTCAGGAAACAAAACAAATGACAACAAAACAATGAAAGTTTTTAAAAAATCATATTTCTACTCTTATAGTGGAATTAGTGTGCATTTTCCCCCTTAAATAAATTTTTTTATTTTTTTGAGAGAGGGTCTTACTATGTAGCTCAGTTATTATGTAGCTCAGGTTGGCCTCAAACTCTCAGTGATCCTCCTGCCTCAGCCTCCTGAGTGCTGCTTGCATTACAGGCATGTGCCACTACGCCTGGCTTCAAATGTGCTGTATTTTAATTTTAGGATTTTCGGGTTTTTTTGGAGACAGGGTCTCTACTGTAATTCAGGCTGACCTTGAACTCACTACGTAGCCCAGGCTGGCCTTGAACTCGTGGTAATCTTCCTGCCTCAGACTCCCAAGTGCTGGGATTACAGGCGTGTACTACCATGCCCAACAAATGTGCTTTATCTATTTAAAATTTTATCTTTATTTATATAAAATTTTTATTTAAAATATAGAATATAGAGCTGAGATGTGGCTCAATGGTGAAGCACTTGCCTAGCACAAGAGATGCCCTGGGTTTGATCACCAGCATTGCCAAAAAAGTCTTAAAATATAGAGCATGTGGTGAAGTTGCGAGTCATCCTGGTTTAGAAGCCATGCTAATCTTTTCTGTGTCATTCCAGTGTTCCTATGTGTGCTACAAAAGCAAGCACCTTTAATGAGTTTTCTAGATGTTTTAAGACGAACGTAGATTAGTTGAATAACAGTAATAATGCTACATGCTGTACCATCAGTTTTTGTTTTTTTTAGGCTTTTTTTTTTTTTTTTTTAGTTTTTTTGAGACAGGGTCTCACTATGTAGCCCAGACTGGTCTCGAACTCACAGTGATCCTCCTGCCTCAGCCTCCCGAGTGCTGGGATTACAGGCGTGAGCCACGACGCCCGGCTCTACCATCATATTGTTTTAGTCTTGATCACAACCGTACATGTTAAATTTTATTATCCTTGTTTTACAGATGAGAAAACTAAGGCACAGAGAAATTGCATTGAATCTTTGAACCCAACCCGTGATATGGCTTGGCACTTGATTATGGGTCCACTTTTTAAAAATTCCTTGATTTTTTTCCCTTCTGATTGAGATCATAGGTTAAAGGCAGAGCCCTTGTCTTCTTATCTCTCTTCCCCTTTCTCCTAAATTTTCAGCAAAGCACTGTGTACTGTGCATAATGAGCACCTCTGAATGCACTGGGTGGATGGTCTGGTGGATGGATGGGTGGATGGATGGATGGCCTATTGTCCTGATATGGTCCAGTGACCTGCTTCTGATGCCATCCTGACTGCTCTTAACCCTGGGCCCAAGAATGGGAAACGTAAAGATCCGAGACACG